TAAGTTGGGAAATCATATCTCTGTGGTCCCATCTGGGATTATTTATTTCACCATGTCCACAGCCAGTTAAAGTTGTCAGACTGTAGGACACCGTGGCTGTCCACAAGAGGACGTGGGTTTGAGGGCATCTCTAAAGAAACTGGAACCACAGTTAGCCACAGCAAAGCCCTTATACCCAGGTGCCCAGAAGTGCCCAACAGCCAGTCACCACCTGGCACTCAGGGTTAGGGTTAGCTAGGTGGTTTAAGCTGCTGCTGCTGCTGCTGCTGGTGGTGGTGGTGATAGTGGCCTCCCAGGTTCCCTCACTATGTGTCTTCAGGTTTGGTTACCTTAGAGGCCCTGGGCCTCCTTGAACAAGTGGAAACAGGGAGATTCAAACAGGCCTTAGGTGGGAAAGATGGAGTTGCCCAGCTGGGTGACTCAGGGACCAGTCTAGCAGAATGTGCTCAAGAAACTGTTCAATGTATGGAAGCCAGTCTGACACATACTTGCCTTCTCTGAAATTTATTTATTTGTTTTTGGACAGATGTTTGGAGGAGGCAAGCAAGCCACTCTTACCAAGGAAAGATCATCTTCTCTCCTTTTTGTTCATCCCCTTTTGACTTTTTGAGGGCAAGCTTATTAGCTGGTGGGGGCAGGAAGGGGTGTGTGTGTGTGTGTGTGTGTGTGTGTGTGTGTGTGTGTGTGTGAAGGTAGCCAGAAGCAAGCAAGGATACTGTCCACCTTCACCTACATGAGTCAGCAGGGGAAGAAAGCCAGCTCCACAGATAGAAACATAGTGGTGCCCCAGAGCTCAGAAAGCCCTGGAAAGAACTGGGCTTCCCGACTCCGTGTTGGTTTTCAGGCTCCTTTAATGGGTTTGTTTCTTCACCGAAGGATTCCTAAATCCAAGAGGGTCTGTTTTAGAAAGAATGTGTCCACTCACTGGACACAAGTGCTATCCCTAGGAGAAGGTCCCACTGTGTGACCACAGTCCTTGTTAGTTGAAGTTTTCATATAGCAGGCCAAGAAAGGTCACTCTTCTCAAGATGCAGAAAAATAATTGACCAAGGTCACAAAGCCTGTGGAAGAACCAGGTGACGCTTGCACTGCCTCACCCCTATTCCCTCTGAATATTTAGTTTACTGAACAGTCTGTGTAGCTGTGGAATCCTTTGGCAGTGGGAAAAAAAAGGCATGGCTATTTACTCCCAGAAGAAGAGTACACAATTTCACTTTTAGTATGGGAGTGTCTTGGACTTCCTGAAGTTTGTCCTAGGATAAATCCCCACCCTCATCCCTAGAACCATCTCACTTTCCAGCCACTGGTGGGAAAGTGGTTCCCTGGGGGACTCCAAGACCAGAGGATGTAATTCAACAAGATCTTGATTACAGCTGCACATCCCGAAGGGCACAGATGGCGGTAGAAGAAGGGAAGGCACGCAGGGGAAAGAGGCACTGTGGAGGGGGAGTGCCCACTGGCAGACAGCGATGAAGTTAGTGTCCTGTGCTTTGCCAGGAGGTGCTGGAGTGAGAAGATGCTCCTGCCTCCCCACCCCCACTGGGGGAGTCACATCCACCTGCAACCTAGCCCCAGAACACTCCCAAGGGCTGCTTCTCCCAGTTTGTTCCCCTAACCCCAAGTCCCATTTCCCTGTTTTGGCCTCATCTGACTGGTCCATGCACACACATACTATTTGTTTCCCTCCGCAAGCGCTGTTTAAAGTTTGAACCAGTACAAGGGCTCCACAATCTGTTTACTTTCAGTTCAGGAAGCAGCTACCCACGCTCTCCTCCCCTGTTCCCTCCTCCCCCCCCTCTCTATTTTTCTCAGCTCTGTTATTTAAAATTACTGGTGAAAAAAAAAAAAGCTAATTATTCTATCTTCTTTGTTTTCAGGGGCAGTACAAGCCACAGATAAAAACCCAGCCTGCCATCCACAGGATCTGGCAGGGTAGTAGCGGTGGACTTACGTTCATTTTTAATGGGGGGGGGGGGGAAGGCTGCACGCAAACAGCCTGGTTGCAAAGTTAGACAAGTATCCTGAGTGGGGGGTGTGTGTGCTGAAGAAAACTCAGCATGACTGGACAAAAACAAAGCAAGGGACAGAAGACCTGTCGTGCCTCTCTGCTCCTAATTCCAAGTGATAAAGTCTGAAGGGGTGCAGGAGAGCTACGGAAACAAAAACAGAAACAAAAGCAGCAATAACAAAAAGTAACCAAGAAAACCACAGCAGACCATTGAGAGTATTTCCAGCGCAGAGCCGTGGACTCGCTCCTCTCTGTCACTTCAGGGCACAGAGGCTATCCAGGTCCAAGGTTCATGCCCCAGTCCCTGGCTTTATCCGCGGACAACGGGTCTCTGAGGGCTCCTCGCTTTCATCATTGGAGAAAAAGGAGGTTAGAAAATACGTCTCTACTGTCGTCAAGAACTCAAACGCTCCCACCCAGGTTTTTTTTTTTAAAAAAAAAAAGAAAGAAAGAAAAAGAAGAAGCGTTTTGGTTAGATAAGACAGAACACAAAAGGCAAAGCTCATCGGTGTTAGTAGGAGGTGCTGAGGGAGAGGTACCCAAGGCTGGTTCCTGTGTGCCTTGGTGAAACTGTCTAAGGAGCCCCCCCGAATTGGCCCGGAAGGCCCCCCACAGTGACGTGAAAAAATCTACCGGGAGCATTCAGAAAGCCATCTCCACGAACGCAGCTGGACATCGCCTCCACTCTGGGGAGAAGCGCGCACCAACGCGGCTCCCGCACCCCACCTAGGAGGAATTTAGCTTTACTAAGGGCCGGACATTACCTGCGTTTACGGCTGGCGGTCAGTCTTTGTTCTCTTCTAGGCGAGCTTGATTGACTCCGAACTTTCTGACGGGTTCGGGTGAGAGGAAGGTTACAACCAGCTTCAAAGTTTTCTCTCTTCAACAAATATCCGGCACCGGTCTGTCGCAGGTCCAGGAAAACGACAGTCCGTTTTCTGATGGACTTTCTAACAGTTCAAGCAAAGGGCTGGATTTAGAGGTGAGCCTAGAAAAAGCACGGGTTTTGAGATTTTAAATTCAGCTTAACAGAATGCATCATTGCTTAAGGGACTTCTTTATGATTCGTGGGAAATGTAACTTTGTTTCAAACTTTTTTTTTTTTGCGTGTGAAGAGTATTGTGAGAGGGAAGAAAATTAATTTCCTTTATAAACACTTATTCACGCACAACAAAGAAGATTTTTAAAAAGGTTTGTATAAACGCATGCTTAGATTGAAGATTTTTTTTTTGTTTCTAAATTGCTAATGGCGTGGATTATTTCCACTTTCTCCAAAGTGGACCACTAATAACAGGAAAATGTAGGTGAGCTGTGGTCGATCGACACAGCCACCCGCCACGCAAGCTCTGTGAAAGCAAGGAACTGTTTTTTTTTTTTTTCTTCTTTTTTTGCGCTTCAGAGTTGTCCACAAAATGCATGTATTTGTAAGACAACTGGGCGTTGTCCTGCAAGATAAACCTGGACTTGTTCATGCGGAGAGAAAGAAGCCCGTGTGTCCCTTTGGAGTGGCCTCCTGCCGCCCTACGGCGGATTGAAGGTTAAATAGCAGAGGTGATGACACATTGCTAGAAACCAACGCTAACCCTTCCCATCTCTGCCTCTCAGTTACCTTCTCGAGAACAACCCGACGCGTAAGACTCAGCTGGTTCCCTAGTCCGTGAGATGATTCGCCGCCGCCACGGCTGCCCGCACCTTCGGGTTCGGCGGTTCTAGAGCGGCAGGGACCCGGCTGCAGCGAAGGGAGGCGGGTGCACTCCGGCGCCGCGGCGCTGGGAGGGAAGCATCCGCTGTGCGGAGGAGGAGGAGGACGCTCAGCCCCGGGGCTTGCTCCGACCAATCGGCGGGCACACCGCCTGACAACCGACCAATCAGAGGGCGCGGAGCTCGGGGGTGGGGGTGGGTGCGCGGATAATACTAGGAAGGGGAGCCGAGGCCCGGGGCTGCAGTGAGCGGCACCGCGCCGAAGGCGAGCCGAGTGCGTCCGGCGCGCAGCCCAGGGTCCCAGCGCCACCCCTCCGGGTCCGGTTCGGGCCAGGAGTGGAAAGCGAGCCAGGCCGCGGAGGAGAGAATAGAACTTGGCAGAATTTGGGATGTACGGAGTGAGGCTGCCGAGGACTTGACTCGCCCGCTGCCTCTGTCCCTCCGCGTCACCCAGTGGGCTCCGGGCCTCCCATTTCAGATCGCTCCCGCTGCTTGCGGCTCCCGGGGACAGACCCTAAAGCTGGCTGCCTTTTCACTGGGTTGCTAGCCCCGAGCCTCCGAGTCTTGGTGAGTGCTGGGATGTTGCCGCCGCTCGGGAGTCAGGGAGGACGTGGGACCTGAATCACTGTCCCCTAAGGCCCTCGCTGGCTGTTTCTGGTTGTCTTGCCTTGGAAAGGAAAATCAAGTTCCGTCCACCCCGTGCAGCCTGAGCGCTGCCGATGCTCAGCTGAGGCCAGCTTCTGCGGCTTTGAGGCTAGGGTCCTTCCTCCCTGTGCGCGCGTGCGGGCCCTCCGACAGCAGCCCAGCGTTGGCTTAGGGGAAGGGGAGGGATGCGAAGGCCTCTCCAGAGTCTCTGCGGTGGCGTAGGTCAGGGAGGGGCGTTTGAGAAAGGTAGCTGTTCCTTCGACATTTTTATGTGCACCGTGGCCGTGTGAGCTGGCTGTGGAAAAAAACAAAACAAAACCAAACCAAAAAACCTTGACAAGTGGCTTAGATTATCGAGTGTTCAGGGTCCGTGGGTGACTTGTCTGGAAAGGCCAGACAGGGCTGCGGCTAAAGGTCAGGTGCACTTGGAATTAAGTAAAAGACGACCTTCGATGTTGGTCCTCTAGACCCGTGTGGCCTGTACTGTAGGGGTAACTCGGGGGGCGCGGGGGGGGGGGGGAGGCTGGCCTTGCAGAAGTTCTGGGCCCAGGCTCAGAGAGGGTCCCTGATTGCGGGGTCTTCGGGCCTCTTTCTGTCTCCCTAGCGTGCGGGCAACGGAGCCGAAGGAGAAGGCGAGCCCAGTGCCATGACGGAAGGCCAGGCGCTCCCCGGAGTCGGGGACTGGGAGATCGACGTGGAGAGCCTGGAGCTGGAGGAGGATGGCCGCGGCACCCCGCCGCGGGCCACGCCGCGGGGACCCGGGCCGTCGGCGGCCGACGGGGACGGCGAGGAAGACGAGGACGAAGACGAGGAGGAGGACGACGACGCGGAGGACGAGGCTGACGGCGAGGAGGCCGGCGCGTCCCCGGAGGTGGCGGGCCGGCCGGAGCAGCCCGGTGGACCGGTACCCAGGCCACCCCCTGCGGCCCAGGCGCTGCCAGCCGCCGCCGCCGCCGCGGCCCCCGAGCGCGGTGCCAGCGCGGGGGGCGGCGGCGCCGAGCCGCGCAAACTGAGCCGCACGCCCAAGTGCGCGCGCTGCCGCAACCACGGCGTGGTGTCCTGCCTCAAGGGCCACAAGCGCTTCTGTCGCTGGCGGGACTGCCAGTGCGCCAACTGCCTGCTGGTGGTGGAGCGCCAGCGCGTCATGGCCGCCCAGGTGGCGCTCAGGAGGCAGCAGGCCACCGAGGTGGGTGCCGTCAGGCCCGGGGTAGGTGCCCAGCCAGGATTGGGGAGGCCCTTAGCAGCAGGGAGCTGTGACCCTCAGCCTCCGGGTCGCCAGGAAGGAGAGGCGCAGACGCTCTGCCCACGGGGCCAGCCTGCGGGCATCGCTGCAGAACGTGCTGGGCAAGTCTGTCAGAAACCAGAGATGAGGCTTCGGGAGTAATTAGGTCTATTGGGGACACTACGGGAAAAGTCACAAAAAAAAAAAAAAAATTTCGGGGAGGGAGGAGGGTGGTTGTCAGTGCGGTGCGCACTGTCCTGTGTTAACAGAGCCCACGGAGGATGAATCCAGCCTACGGTGGCTGCTGTCACCCTATCTTGGTACTTGGGCAGAGCCTGATGCCCGTTTTCTGGATGAGACCACAGTGCGGATGGAGTTAGGAGCCCCTCAGCCCAAGGCTGACCTGCCCGGAAGTAATCCCAGCGGTCATTGCTCCCTGGTGCGGCTCTCTTGTGAGGAGCCAGCATTTCTCCTTGAGTCTCCTTTGAATCCCGGAGTTTACGTTTAATTGCGTTCCTGCCCTTTTGGTGCTCCGAGGAAGCGATGGAGGTTTCACAGAGCCTCTTCTCAGCCCCAAGGCTAGGCGAGGTTCTGAAACCCTTATTACTGTTACTATTGTCGTTGTAGTTTCAAGGGCTGAGGGTGGGCTCTAGGTAAGTGCTCCGCAAGTTTCCCCAGGCGCGGGAAAACTTTCGGCTTGACCTCGCCTGCTGACAGGTGCTGGCAGCTCACGGGAGGTGGCCAGCGACTCCAGAGGGAAACCTCCCGATGGGAGAGTGCTCAGGTGGCTCAGGGCCTGGGCTTCTTTCCGAGTTAGGAAAGCCCTTGCTGGGCTTCTTGGTAGCCCACTGGGTTGGGAGCAAACTGGCAGTGGCCAGAGGGCTCTCAGGCTGGGGTCCTCTTAAGAGTTTCTTTTTCGTCTCGGTACCTCTGCCCCCATCACCCAGAACAAGCCAGATACAATACCCTCAACCTCTGACACCCTATTGTGTCTACGACACCTAGGAGTGAAAGCGCCCCGTCCTTTGGTCCTCAGAGGCTGGTCCTGGGTCCCTTTAGCTTAGTGGATGCACCTTGGGGAGGCAGCCTCCCCCCAACACCCTTCTTCCTAGGCCTAAAGTCTCCTTGACTGGATCTCACCTCCTTCTAGATGTCTTCTTGGCTACGCTGAGATTAAGGGGCGCTCCCATGATTTTTTTTTTGGAATACTATCTTTTATTATTATTATTATTATTATTATTATTATTATTATTATTATTATTATAAGAGATGACAAAAACAAATTCATTTTAGATTGGGGAGAGTTCTAGAAGCTTTGCGGACGCCCCTCCCCCCACTCTCAGGATCGTTTCTTGTATTTACAGGACAAGAAGGGGCTTTCCGGCAAACAGAATAATTTCGAGCGGAAAGCAGTATACCAGAGGCAAGTCAGGGCGCCGAGTTTGCTGGCCAAAAGCATTTTAGAAGGTAAAATAACGTCCAGTTGTCCTTTGGCTTTTTAAGCCGAGTTGAGGGACGCTGATTATTTAGCCGCATGACGTATGTGTTAACCCAGGAACTCCTATCTGGAAAATGCATGTCACCTACTCACAGAGACTTTTGCCACCGTGATAATATTATCCTCTGACCAGTTAATGTCCTCCCGGGCAGGGGCTCGTAAGAACTCACTGTCAAGTGATCCTGGAAGCCACGGATGGAAGAAAAACAATTAAGACTCCCCTCCCCCCTCCCCCATCCCCAACTCTCTTAGTTATTGAAGGAGTTTAATGGGCAGAGTAAACCAAGCAAGGAGATTACAGCTCCTGTGACCAAGAGTCACCTCTAGCCTCAGGTTTCACTCTTCAGCGTTGAACTGTTTTCCTTCTTGGCAGCCTAGATGATCGCTGCATCCTTTGTTAGTCAAGGCTGTAGAGTGGGAGAGGCTTTGAATCACACAAGCCCACTGGGCAGCTGGCAGTCGAATTCTCCCTTTGCCTTCATTTTCCACAAATCCTAGAGACATACTAATTTTTCTTAAAATAGTGACGATTTTCTAAAGCACATGGGTTTAGGCATGGCATTTATTTGTTGACTAGCTAAGCAATGCGTTGGCTATCACACCATTTTCCTTAACATTCTTTACATTTTCTTTACCTTTATCTAAAGTGAAGTTACATTTACCTTAACCACTGTCACTTTCTGTAGTTCAGCTTAAAAAAGAAAGACTTCCTTCCATGAAGTGGGTAGTTGAGGTCTTTCTTTCTCTTTCTCTCTCTCTGTCTCTTTCCCTTCCTTTCTTTTTTTCTTGTGAGGTTTCTGAGTTTAGCTAATCCGGAGTGGTTTTCAAGTTTTTGTCTCAGCCTGTGCTGTGCACTTCTGACCTTAGAAAGAGTTCTTGACAATTCAAAGTGAAATTGGTTGCAAAGTGGGTAAACATTTATAACCATAGGGACCACATTGATAAGTTGAAATTTTGCCAAAGCAAGTTGAGACACTTGAGGTCTCAATGGAAAAGTCAACTCAAGTAAATAACTTTCTGGCAAACACTTAGCCTAGTGGAAACAATAATTTTCAATTTTTATTTTGTTTGTAAATGAGTATAATGGGTTTGTCACTGTGTAAATACAAACACTACACTGGGTCTTTCAGAAAAATCTGTTAGTGGTGAGTGTTTGGGAGTGGTCAAATGCACCCAGAATTCTATTTATGTTATAGTAATTTTTGTTTTTGATTTTGTCTTCATTCATGAACTGTGCATGACTTTCTCTGCATCCTAATGAGTGTGTGTTCTGCCCTTTTGGTATCTGGCCAACATGAATGAACTTCGGGAGTGGGGAAGGAATGCTTGAGAGCTGTTATTTTCAGGGTAGCTGGAGATGTCTTTCCCTCACCTGCACTGTTTGCCTTGCTTTGTTTGTTCTAGGGGTTCAGGGTAAGCCTGGTGACATTGTTAGCTGCACAGTGTGTTTGGACTAGTTAACAGTTCTTTTTAGTTTTTCTTTGCTTTTCTGTATCTTTAAGTCTTTTCTTCTTTTTCTTCTTACTAATCTTCCTTAACTTTCTCTTTCTTTTTTTCCTAGCTCTCCTTGGACTATTCCACAGCTGTAACAATGTGTACATAATGAGACATCTTTAGAAAATAAAAATGTGACATCAGCTGTAGGTATAGATATCTTTTATAATAATCCAAAAAAAAAAAGATGAGATGGGCAATGAAACATTATTAAAATAAGGTGGACAGATTCGTCTCTCGCTGTCTATGGATCTGGGAAGAATATTAAAATCTCAGTCAACATGGTCCACTTGCTGAGGCAAGCAGGCATACCTATACAAACAAAAACAACGGCCTCTGCCGTGTGGGCCCCTTCCTCAAAGAGAAACCATACTGAGTCAAGCCTATACTTTTGTTTTCTTTTTTTCTTTTTCTTTCTTTTTTTTTTTTTTTTTTTCCAAGACAGGGTTTTTCTGTATGTAGCCCTGGCTGTCCTGGAACTTTGTAGACCAGGCTGACCTTGAACTCACAGAGATCCACTTGCCTCTGCCTCCCAAGTGCTGGGATTAAAGGTGTGTGCCACCACTCCCGGCTACTTTTGCTTTCTATTTTATAATATCCATGATATGAAATTGTAACTGGCTCTCCTGTGCCCTGTGATGATGATGCTTTTGCCTTCTGGATTTCCAGCTTTTTCCGGTCAGGATGTTAATCTGCTTTCCTCACAACCCTTGCTTATTTTAGGCTATCGCCCAATAACAGCAGAGACTTACCTAGGAGGGACTCTTCCTCTACCTCCACCTGTTAGTGACAGAATGAGGAAGAGAAGAGCCTTTGCTGACAAAGAGTTGGAGAACATCATGCTGGAGAGAGAATATAAAGAGAGGGAGATGTTGGAAACCTCCCAAGCTGCTGCCCTGTTCCTGCCCAACCGTATTGTGCCTGGACCTGAATACAGCTCCTACAAAAGTGCCTACAGCCCCACCGCAGGGGAGCCACCGAGCAAGGACTTCTGTAACTTTTTACCAACCTGCCTTGATCTCACCATGCAGTATTCAGGGTCTGGGAATATGGAACTGATTTCTTCTAACGTCAGCGTGGCCACAACTTACAGACAATATCCCCTGTCCTCACGGTTTTTAGTTTGGCCCAAGTGTGGTCCCACTAGTGACACCCTTCTCTACCAGCAGTACCTGTTAAACACTACCACTTCCGTCCAAGCCCTGAAGCCTGGGGTCAGCTGGGACTTGAAGGGAACCCGAGTTCAGGACGGGCTTAATGCAGAACGTGACATGATGCCACCGAAACTGGAAAGCTCCCTGATGCCCCCTCATCTACCAGAGGTCTCAACCTCAAGAACTGACCTCCAGGCTCACCAGGTCGTCCCAGAGAGGTCTGCCTTCTCCTCACCCGGGCGGAATTTCTCACCCATTGTTGATATGGACTGCCTGGCAGCTCAAGGGCACGTCTTAACCAAGATCAGTAAAGAAAACACTAGGCATCCTCTGCCACTTAAACATAATCCATTCCATTCAGTATTCCAGCAGACGCTCAACGACAAACCAGGCCCTGAGTTGAAAACACCATTTGTCAAAGAAGCCTTTGAGGAGACCCCAAAGAAACACAGGGAGTGTTTGGTCAAGGAGAACCAGAAGTACACATTTACAATAGACAGATGCGCCAAAGACCTCTTCGTAGCCAAACAAGTTGGGACGAAACTCTCAGCAAACGAGCCGCTGTCGTTTTCTGTTGAATCTATTCTTAAGAGGCCCTCATCTGCCATCACTCATGTCTCTCAGTGAAAGGCTGCTTAGATGGAAAGCTGGATTTTCTCCAGTCTCAGAGGGTTCTTTGCAGATGCCTTTTCGGTTTTTAAAGTTAAGATGTTTGTATAAGGAAATTTTTAATGAAAATGATGATTCCAAAAACCCTATCTATTTCCTTTGCATGTATCTTTTCTTATCACATGAATATATTTAAAAGATGAAAACTGCTTACTATGCAAATTGTAAAGTTCTATGCTTTACATAGCACTCCAAAAAGCAATAAAAAGAACATTTTCTAAAGACCCACTATTTGTTGAAGCAGACAGCTGTCTCTGTCTAGATGAAAAAGCTTGTGTCTTAGAAATGCATGCTTTATTTTTCTAGGGGGTGGTCTATGTACTTTCAAGCACTCCTAATGGTTCTTGTCTCAAGAGAATGCCTATAAGCTTATAATGCTTTTGTTTGTATTGTTTTAAATTTGCTGGTAGGGTGAGGAAAATTCAGGGCCTCACACATGCTGGGTGCATGTTCATTCTCCAAACTATATTTCTGGTGCTTCTTAAAGGATACATACATATATGACATATATGATATATAATATATATTGAAGCATATCAATATCAATTTAACTTTTCAAGATGTAGGCAAAGTGAGCTTGAGGGGAGGGTTGGGACTATTTGCATATTCATGGAACTTTAATGCCATGTAGTTTGACAAAGTTTAAATAACTAAAAAAGGAAATCAGGTGCAACAAGGTTATATATTTTTGATAATGTGTTTGGAGAGGGATGAATGTGAACTTCTGAGCTCGTTTCCTCCTCAGGTCAGGCTCTGTATATTAAGCCTTAAGCCTCCTTTCTAGGAAATGCACATACCTTTGAACATTTCCAGTTGTTTTGAACACACCGTGTCTTTAACTTGCTGGCAGTCACAAATAAGTTCCCCTTACTGGGTGCAGTCCATGTAGCCCACAGTGGTGTCAGATCCCCCTTGGCTCTAGTTCACTATTCCTGAGGGATTGGTGTCAACAGTCATTTAGATGTCGGCCCTGTCAACTCTCAGCTGGTCCCTAACTACCGGTTTACGCCTCTCACACTGCACCTGTGTCAAAGGCTGTCAGTGTCATTTTCTTCTGAGATTAAAAACATCTACTATTCAGATATCGTCAACAGACACTTGCTGAACCCTGTGGGTGTTTACCACAGCATGCAGGCAGCTTCTCTCCCGTGCCATTTGTAAATTCCTTGTTACCCTCTTGTTTTGCCTAACAGATTATTAAGTGTTGTCTCAGAAGTTTGATAAATCGAGTATGGGACGTTTGTGAAGATACTGATCTTACCTGCTCAGTGTGCGCAGAGCCCGGGGTGCTTACTACAGGAACCAGGCTGTTCCTGTAATCCCAGCCCCAGGAGGTGGGGGCAGGAGGACCGGAAGTTCAAGGTCCTCCTTCGCTACATATCAGCTGTGAAGGCAATCTGCAGCTCATGATACCCTTTGTTACACATCTGTAATCCCAATACTTGGAGGTTGGAGGATGGTGATGGTGAGAGGAGGATAGTGTGTTCGAAGCCTTCCTGGGCTACATAGCAAGACCCTGTCAAAAAAAAAATTACACACACACACACACACACACACACACACACACACACACACACACACACAGCAAAGCCTACCAGATAAACACAGCGTCCTCACTGCACTTGTGGACCTACAATCAAGTTCAAGTTTTAGAGCTAATAAGATGGCCTAGTGGGTAATGTCATCTCACTACAGAAGACAAGGGTTCAGACATTTCACCTAAAGGGCTGCCACGGCGCAAGTATGACTATCAAGACCATTTTGGGGCTTGTGGAAAGTGACATGAGTTTCAACATCGTAAAGGGTTTCTCGCTCTTGAAAACACTTAAAAACGATGGGAAATATTTGTGCTACCGATTATTAGCCCATGCAAACCTCCAGAGATTCTCAGGGTTGCTGCTTAAAATTAGCGTCAGTTTCAAAAACCCAAGCCCAAACTTAGGTTGATTTTCAGTTTGTACTTGTAAAATAATACTTGGGTTTGTTGAGTCAAATTTACTTACTGTTACTCTTGCAAAAGCCAGAGCAAATGGAAGCCTGCCAGCGACACAGAACTGAAAGCAGGCAGAAATTTCAATAGCTGTTGAGGATTATCATTAAGTGGAAAAGGTGTTTTCCAGCCAAGTCTGCTCCCGTGTTAGGACTGCCTTCAGTCACCTGGGCTTTATCGGCACAGACGCTCATTTTTGTTTCCCTATTGACGATTTGCCTTTTGTAAAAGCCTTAAGTGTAAACTGAACACTAGACTCCACTTCAGTATCAACTCATTAGAAACAAACTGTACTAAAACGTCTCAGTGAAAGGGGGCTCTTAATCCAGAGATGGATTTGTTCTCCCCTCCCGACTTCTACCAGGAACCCCTCCAGGGTCTCCTGCAGAGCAGGCTGTAGAGCAGAGAAATAACCTTGAACCTCTAAGCCTTCTGCTTCCATGTCCTGAAAGCTGGCATCACAGGCCTGTGCTACCATGCCTGGGTTTACATGGTGCCAGGGATGGAATGCAGGGCTTCAGGCACCTTAGGTGAGCCCTCTACCGACTTTGGGAACTCGTAATTTTGAGTACTCATATTTGTCAATTATTTTCCCTTTTGTGTCCAATGACCATATTGGGACATCTTCTTTGTCCTGTCTCTGGATCATTTTAATCCTATTAAGTGAATCCAGTTGCCTTGGCTATTAGTGGCTTTTCTCACAATTTGAGTGACTGGAATTTTATTGTCCTTGAATGTTTATGAGGGTGAGTACTTTTCCTGGCAAATTTATTAGCTCTGCTGTAATGATGAGTTCTTAGAATTTCAACCTACCAAATCTACCATCAGCCACGTAATCAGAGCTTTGTTCTTGGCTGGCTGTTTGCTTTTTAAAATCACTGTGTTTCCCTGAAAGCTTCCAGTCTTCAAAGAACTCTGTTTTTGACATACAAAGCCGAACTCCCAATTCACTTTGATCACTTTCTATGCTCAAGGTAATGGATAGATTTGGCTTGAATCACTTCTTGAGAACTTAGCGGCTAATAAAACATTCGCCCTTTCTCTCAGCTTAACTCACAATACAATAATGCAGTTTTAATGAGTCGTTTTCCTTCCATGTCAATTGATCAAGTGTTATTTTTTGCTCTATTTGCAGTTTTCAAAAGCTGACAACAGTGTTTCTCAAACTTTAATGGATGGTTGAATTCCCTGGACCTTTGATCCCACTGGTCTGGGTGGGCCTATGGTTTCTAGCAAGTTCCCAGATCTTGATGCTACTGGCTTCAGACCACAGTTCCAGTAGCAAACGATTGCATTTCCATTCCTTTAATGCACATTTAATACAGTGTGCTGTGGATTGGATAATAATGCAATGGTAATATTAGCATGAATAATTCCATATACACTAACACTGAAAAACAATTCCCTTTCTGCTAACCCTTTGGTGGCTTGAGTAGGTTAAGATCCAGGCAAAGGTCGCAAAAACTGCATTCATCTCTCCTGAGGTAGGTGACCCTGATGGTCTAACCGATTCCCAGTGGTTTCACCTCTTGACATTCTCACCGGCTTAACACCACCACAGTGGCCGTGTTCCCGGCATGTGATGCTTTGACAGACACACTCAGACCATATCTAAGCCAGAGCACTGTGTGCATATCTTTCTGAAAGGCATCTTGCTACTTGTGTGGGTATGGATACCCTTCTCTCTTCACTGGGGTCCCACCAGTCTATTTACCCACTTCTTATCTTTGGAAACTGAATGTTCTCAGTTAGACATCCCTCTCCCACTGTACCTCCCTCAGCAGGTGCAGGGTTTCCACCCAACACTGCTGTCACCCGTTGAGGTTCTGAAGTCTGTTATGTACTTTTCACTGTGTGCCTGACTGTGTTATCAGTCATCTGAACCTAAAAGCTAAATTCCAATTGTGTAAGGAAAGGCTGCAACTTGTATTAAGAAATGTTCCAGAATTCCTTAAGCAGAGTCTCCGAGGTGCTAAAGGGAAAAGAAGTGGCTGAAGGTCAAGATGAAGAAATAAGAATCTGCAATTCCCCATAGGATAATAAAGACATCACTTAATGTCAAGGCTGTGTTTTCAATTGAGACAAGAATTATTACAGCCCACCAGATTTCATGAATTTTGGATCCACTTCTTTATTTCTATTCTAGGTTTACAGCTTCAGCTAATTTCCACAACTGGGGCCCAGTTCACGGAATTAATAGTTTCTGAAGTGGCTGGACTCTGTATTATATAAACTTGGGCCAGTGGCACCCACTTAGACTTCTTTTTATGATTATATTAAGCTTTTATCGTGTTTCACCTGCTTCTCTCTTTTGGCTTCAAACTTGTTTGGTTTAAGTACATTGAGAACATGCTAGACAGAGACACCTGGAAATGGGTTGGCAAGAAGTAGTGGCAAATATGCAATAACAGTAAGTACACGCACTCAGAGCCTTCTAATTCAGAAAGCACATTTGCATTTATTATCTCTAGCACACGACTGGAAAGGAACATTTTTGTTGGCCGTGAGAAGCCTTTCAGCCTAACAGGCATTTCTTAGCTGGAGAACTAAGCATGTTATTTATGATATTTGATGAACCTAAAAATGAGCCCTAGTATCAAGCAGGCCTGGGGTGGAAAGCATGTCCCCCACCAGTCAAGGTACAAGACAAAGGCCTGGCATTGGCGATAAGACTATTCTTACCTGCTTTATCACAGATTTTTGTTACGTTGGAGAACAGAACTTATACCTGGCAGGCTAAAGAAGATTCCTCATGCTATACTCCCCAGTGACACAGACCACCCACCTAGAAACACCTGGCCTACCACACCTGCCCAGTCGCTGCAAGCAGGTTCGCTCTTGACAGGAAGCAGAGGACTGGGATGAGGTCCCCAAGCTCTTTACCTACGTAAGACCCATCAATCTGGTAAGTTATTCTCCTTTAACTCTCTGACTTAACATGCGTAAACTTATTATTTTCCTTGTTTTG